CCGGCTGTATGTAATTTTCAATACTTCCTTCTTAAAGCGTGAAACAATGTAGTCCTTGATGGGTTAATCAAAAAACTTCGGTAAGCAGCACTTGGTCTGTCCAGGCAGGAGGATTAGCAGTTCAAGGCCAGCCTGGGTTATATAACAGACCCTGTCTCAGAAAAGGAAAGGGCCTGGGAGCTGGAATGTGGAAATTACAAAATAAGGATTTGGTACTAGAAAACTAGTCCACCCCTCCCCCTTACCCGCTCCAGCCACCCACATACTGGCTGCAAAACTAAGCAATGCTATATTCAACACCGAGACTGGATGCAGAGTGGAAGGCATACGCTGCAAGCCCTCATGGCCCCCAGCAGCTCGGCCTCAGAAGGCCCCTGCCTGGAGTGCATTCTCCGCATCTGATGCACAAGCACTCACACTCGCTCTCTCTTGATAAATAATAAAGACAGACAAGTGGCAGCTGCCACAGGAGCAAACAGAAAACAAGCCTCGCTGGCACCCCAGCCTTCACAAAGGCCAATTCAGAGGCCTGCAGACAGACGGAGCAGCTGAGGACTACAGCAATCACCTGCCCGAATGCTAATTGCACATTTGAAGGACTGCCCAGGTGAAACTGAGGATTTAACCAGAGCACGTTTCATTAAGATGGATAAGAGAATGCAGACAGAGAACCGGAGATGGCAGTAAAGGACACTGACGGCAGCGCTAACTCCACCTGATTCCAAGGAGACCGCAAGGGCTAAGAAGATGACTGGAGGGAAGAGGCAGCCCTTTTCCAGTCTGTGTATGCTGAGATGTCTGTATAACTGGAAGGTGTTTTTCCTTTTAAAAGCATTAGTACCTTTTTGTTTCTTTTTTGAGACAGGGTTTCTCTGTCTAGCTCTGGCTGTTCTGGAACTCGCTCTATAGACTAGGCTGTCATATGTGTATACTGTTAAATCTAGGTTCCACATATGAGAAAGAATGTGTTTTTCTTTCCACTCATTAACCTTTTTTGTTCCTTTAGACCTCTCCCATCACATGTAAGTGTAAAATTATAATTCATATAAATATATGTAATCTAGATTGTGAAGATGGGAGAAAACATGCAATATTTGTCTTTCATTTATTTTATTTTAAGACAGGGTTTCTCTGTGTAGCCCTGGCTGTCCTTGAACTTGCTCTGTAGACCAGGCTGGCCTTGAACTCAAGAGATCTACCTACCTCTGCCCCCTGGGTGCTGGGATTAATGGTGTGAGTCACCACTGCCTGGCCCTGAACATGAATTATTTCACCTAACATGATCTTCAGTTTTCTCCATTTTTTGCAAATGAACCAATTTCATTTTTCTTTATGGCTGAATAAAACTTGATCGTGTGTTTCTATGTATCATTATTCATTCTTCTAAAAAAGGGGCACCCAGGCTGGTTTTGTATCTTAGCTATAGTAAATGGTGTATCAGTAAACAGAACTGGAAATTGGAAAATAGTTTAACTGTGTCTATAAGGCACTCCTTGTAGTTTCTTATGATTCCACTTCATTTCTTTTGTTTTTTCGAGGCAGAGTTTCTCCGTGGCTTTGGAGGCTGTCCTTGAACTTTCTCTGTAGACCAGGCTGTCCTTGAACTCACAGAGATCCACCTCCCTCCAGAGTGCTTACAGGCATGCACCACCAACGCCTGGCTTCCATTTCATTTCTGTTGCTTTGTCTCTCCAGTGTTCATGAAAAGCCATCAAGTTTAACTTTTAGAGCTTTAGCTGCACTGCTAGTGCCCACTGTTCATAGCACCAGAGTGTCAAGGATGGAAACAATTTAAAAATTTCTTAATCACATTTTTATTTTTCAGTTTTTGTGTGCATGGGTGTTTGCTTACATGTATGTCTGTGCTCCACATGTGGGCTTGGTGCCGAGGAGGCCAGAAGAGGGCGTCAGAGCTTCCAGAACTAGAGCTCCAGATGGTTGTGAGCCACCCTGTTCTTGTTGAGAATTGAACTTGGGTCCTCTGAAAGAGCATCCAGTGCTCTTAACTACTGAGCTGTCTCTCCAACACTTTATTTAGGTGTGTGTGTGTTTGTGGTCAAAGGACAGAAACTTGTGGAGTCATTTTTCTCCTCTCGTTGTGTGGGGTGCCTGGTACTGAGTTAGTTCAGTTTGTAAAGCTTTGTGCCAAGCAGGGTTACCCATGGAGCCACCTCACCCACCCATAATTTTTCTTTAGTAGAAAAAAATTTCTATTAAAATGTTTGTCAATAAAGTACATAATAAACTGATTCCTTTGAGAATCAAAGAAAATTAGCATTACTAGTGTTGTTTTGAGTTAGTATTCTGTTGTTGTTGAGACAGGGTCTATGTATCCCTGGCTTGCCTGGAACTCATTATGTAGACCAAGTTGGCCAGCCATAAACTCAGATATGTCTGCCCTTGTCTCCCAAATGGTAGATCTAAAGGAAGACATGTGCCCTCACATTGGCTTTAGAATTTTTCTGTGGCTTATATTTTCCCCCCTTTGGTACTTATATAGAGATCAGCTACTGAAGAATATAGTAATAAACTAAATCTTATGTGTGGTAGTATACACCTTTAATAAGCACTCAGGTAGCAGAGGCAGGCTGAGCTTTGTGAGTTCCAGTGAAGTTTGATCTACATACCAAGTTCAAGGACAGCCAGTGGTACCTAGTGAGACCTGCCCCCCCCAAAAAACCAAGAAAGACAGATTACTAATAGCAAAGGAACATGCATATAGGATATATTTTTCATTGGATCTATTGTCTTTCAAGGCTTATGGTGAAAAGCAATGGTTTCCCGTCCTGTCTGATTCACCTCAACTCCTTAGAACTGTTTTTCAGTTACTGCTCAAAACCACACTATAGTTTATGGTGTTTGCACTTTGGCTTTCTGGTGCTCTTCCCCTGGAGTTCTGGTTTCCTATTCCAGTTTGGACCAGTTTAATTCTCAGACAGGCTATCCACTTGCCACCCAGAGGTTTCTTTTTATTGGAATCAGATTCATTTTGCTTTTTAGTCTTAAGATTGCCAGCCTGCAAATAATGATATGGAGACATATTAATTATGAAAGCTTGATCTTAGCTTGGGCGTTTCCCCAACTAGCTCTTAGAACTCCAGTTAACCTGCTTCTATTAATCTACATTCTGCCACATGGATTTACCTTTTCTCAATAAGGCACATTCCAGTCTGTTGGCAAAATCACCACCTAGATTCCTCCTCTTCGTCTCTCCCTGGAGATCCCACCTATCCTCTCCTGTCTAGCTATTGGCCATTCAGCTCTTTACTAAACCCATCATAGTGACACATCTTCAGTGTACAAAAAGATTATTCCACAATGGGCTAGTATTGTTAGGCCCATGTTATTTGTATTTTTTTCTTATAGAAAATTTAGGATATTTAATTTTATACTCCATGCTATCAATAAATATAGCATAGGTCAATTAAAAAATGTTGTTTTGAATGGGTGGTTGGCGTGCATGGATGTGTGAACTACATGCCTACCTGGTGCCCATGGACCAGATCCCCTGGAACTGAAGTAACAGTTATGAGCTGCTTATGGGTGCTGGGAATTGAACTGGGGTTTGTAAGCTCTATGTGCTCATCACTGCTGGGCCATCTCTCCAGCCCTTTACACCTGTTTTTTGATGTTAACACTTGTTTACTGAAGTACATTCTATACACCAGGCTTTCCCTTACATGGTTCTGTATAAAGCAGTTTATTTTACTCTACTTCATTAGAAATGAATACTAAATAATTTCTCATCACTTTAACTTCTTGATGTATTTCAGCACCATGGTAATCTTACAGAAAATACTTAACAAGTACATTTTTATTGCACATGGTGTAAGTTTTTTACTTTGTGACAAGCTTTTGCTACATAGCTCAGGCTGGCTTCAACTCATGACATTTCTAGTGCTGCTTCCTGAGTGCTAGAATGATAGGCATGTGCCCTATCCTAGCTTCAAATTGTATTTTCATAATATTTGTTATATGTTAACATTGCTTGTATTTTATGCTACTATCATCTTCAGTTAATGTTTGATGCTAAACATTGAGGTTTTAGGGTGTACCTAGTTTCTGGTTTCCCTTCTGAAATAAGCAGTTAAGACAGGGAGGAGTTTAAAGAGTAGCCACTTCATTTCTAATGTAGAAAAGTCATACCGGGAACCAGCAGAAGTGGGGAGAGCACCAACAAGAAGGTATGAAAATGCTATAAAGAAACCCCTTGGGGCTGGAGATAGCTCAGTGGCTAAGAGCACTCACTGGCTGCTCTTCCAGAGGTCCTGAGTTCAATTCCCAGCAACCACGCAGTGGCTCACAGCCATCTGTAATGAGATCTGGCGCCCTCTTCAGGCCTGCAAGCATATGTGCAGACAGAATACTGTATACACAATAAATAAATCTTTAAAAACAAACAAGGAAACACCTTACTTTGTAAGCTGACTTTAAAAACTAATTGCCAGACAGGAAAACCAATACTAAGATGCCCACAAAGAAGCATGTTTTAAAGATAGGGAATAGTTAAAACTTGGTGTTTTTGGCTTTAGATATTTATTTGTGCACAGATGCCTAAAGGAAGGTGCTAGGTAGCATCTGAATGCTCGTGCTTTATTGGCTAGGGTGAAATCCAGCAACTCCCAGCAATGCTGTTTCGCTCTCCCAGAGCTGAGTTTACAGAAGTGTGCTAGATAACCAGTTTCTTACCTGGGTGCTGACATTCAAATTCCAGTCATGGCTGCACAGTGAGCACTCAATCTTTGAGCCTTCTCTCCAGCTTATTTTTAGGTTTTGTTGAGACAAGGCCTCACATGGAAACCTAGGCCGGTCCTGAACTCAAGGAAATCCTCCTGCTTCCACCTTGAATGCTGGAAGCTTGAGTGTATGCCACCAAACACAACTAAAAATGTCAGGTTTTAGTAAAACTAAAAAGATTTACCTGAAATTCTTAAACACCACGTCATACCTTAATATACCACACCAATCACTTCCTATAGTGTTTAAGAAGAGAGCAGTGGTATTTCACAAGCCATCTTTTATTAATGCAATATATGTTCATAAACTCTAACAGTATTTTAAAATATACACTCTCTCAAAAGGAATATTCCACTAAGGAGAACAATAGATAACTTCAGGGTGGTCAGGTTTCACAGCACGATGCACAGAAATCTGCAGGTGTCCTGGGGAGCGGGGGCTTCACTCCTGAGCGAGTCGCTCAATGACACGCCGGTAGTCCTCCACCAGCTCCTGGAAGCGCTCTTCCAGCAGCTCGTGCTGCACGCTTATTTCTATCTGGTTCATCTGGTTGGTCAGCTCTTCTGGCCTCAGGCATTTCCTCATCTTGGCAAGATCTCTCTGCTTTTTCTAAGAAGCAAACAATTATTATTTTTAGACAAAGAGCATTTTCTTAAATAGCTATTTTAAGCCTTGAGTGTTAAAAATAATAGTAGCATGGATAGAGATGACTCGGCAGTTAAAAACACTCACTGTGCTTAGAGAGGACCTGGGTTCAGTTTCCAGCACTCACATGGCAGCTCACAACCACCTGTAACTCCAGTCCCAGAGGATCTAATCCCCTCTTCTGAAACTTTGCAGGCTTGTGCATAAACCCAAGCTCACACACATAAAATAAATTAAAAAATAATAGTGGCAATGTGCCCAATTTTTCCTATGCAGGTTCTTCATTAAGGAAACACAGGAACTACAAACCGTCTAAGGAGTTAACAAGACCCAGTACTTGGGTCAGTAGTGGTAAACACATACAAGTGGCCAGTGCCAGGCTCTGAGCTAGGAGTGACAGTGCACACTTAAAATCCCAGCACTTAGGAGGTAGACTTCAAAGACATCCTGGACTACATGAGACCCTATCTCAAAAAACTAATCAGGAACACAAACTATAAACAGTAACAAGTTGCCAGAGCTGGCATATAACTCAGCATTAGAGTACCTGCTTACTAAGTGGAGACACTCAAAGGTTTCTTAAATAAGATGCATTAATTGAAGATAATTGACATCATATAAAACTATTCTTATTTTACTGTAAAATGATTATTTGTGGTGATATTTTATGATGTAACAAATAAAGCTTGCCTAAAGATCAGAGCTAGCCACGCTAGTCAGCCATAGAGGCCAGACACTGGTGCCTCACACCTTTAATCCCAGCAATTGGGAGACAAAAGGCAGATGGATCTATGTGAGTTCAAGGCCACGCTGGACTACATGAAATTGATCCAGTCTAAAAGAGAAACAGAGCAAGGGTTGGTGGCTCATACCTTTAATCTCAGTATTTGGGAATCATACGACATTAATCCCAGCCCTAAGGAGGTGGAGACAAGAAGTGATGTGGCTGGGAAGAGAGGAGTATAAAGCAGGACAGTCACTGTGAGGAGCAGTCATTCTGAGGATGCAGTCTGAGAACAGGGTTGCCCCTTTGGTTTGAGCACTGGTAGAGGGAGGTAAGAGCTCTAGTGGCTGGCCGCTCTGCTTCTCTGATACTTCAGCTTTTACTAATAGCAGACTCAAAGTTTTATTATTAAGATCAAAGAGGATACATGCTACAATTATTTTTTATTTCTGAAAATTCAATAATGAAAGTTTAAATAATATATCATCATGATCAAGTAGAATTTATTCCAGGAGCCTAGACTGATCTATGAGAAAAAAAATCACATACTAAGTTCTACACATGTAACATTAAGTAGTATTTACTATTGAGTCTACTAGTTCATGACAGACATTTTATTAAGCCTTCCCCATTTTGTAAAAATTGACATCACTATGCTGAGGAGTTTGTAATAAGTAGCTGTAACAATTTTATGCAAGACATCTGTATCAGACTAATCCTGGCAGTGCTGATCAGGATGGGCAACAGCAGGACTAAGTCAGAACCTACTGAAGTAGTTCATGCTGAGAAAGCGGAAAGAGAGCAGTGGTCCCTGTCAGAAGTGAGGGGTGGGGCAGGACAGAAGGAAGCACTAGATGATGGGGAAGGATGAGAGTACTGCCAGCATGTCCACTCGCTCCCAGTACACGAACATCTCATGTTTTGGACAGAGTGTTCTAGATTACTGCATCAGTTATTTCACTACAGCAGGAGCTAGAGAGTTGGTGCTCACCTAGCATATATGAAGTCCTAGTGGGGTAAACTCCTAAACTCCAGCACCCAGGATGTAGAGACAGGAGGATCACAAGCTGAGGTCATGCTCAGTTACACAATTAGTTCAAAGCCAGCCTGAACTTAAAAAACAAAAAAAGACTTCATACAGAGATAAAAATTTTATACACACAAACACACACACACACACACACAACTCTGAGAGAAGTTATGAGATGGAGGGAAAGTTATGAAGGAGCTAAACAACTTGGTCAAGTTCACAGACATTGAGCCAAGAAGACAGGATTCAATCTCTTAACAGTCTGGTTGGAATTCTGAATTCTAAGTCTGTCTTTCAAAAGGCAATAAAAACTCAAACCACATTACGTCCATTCTATAACTAATAAATGACTCTTAAAGAGAACATATTTATAATTGTAGAATACCAGGAATCCTCTTGTCTCCAGTTTCCCAAGACCTCCTACCTATTACTAATCAGGGAGCACCACACTAGCATTTTTTGTGGGTTCTGGAGTTAATCTCAGGTTCTCACACTTGTAAGGCTTTACTCACGGAGCCAGTTCCTATTCCATACACATCAAGATTTTGAAGAACTTCTAAAGAGATTTTAATAGAAAGCATGCAAAAATATCTTGACAAATTGGAAAATCAAGAATGACAGTTCTAAACTGGGCGGTGGTGGTTCACACCTTTAATCCCAGCACTCGGGAGGAAAAGGCAGACAGATCTCTGTGAGTTTGAGGCCAGCTTGGTCTATAAATCTACATAGAGAAACCCTGTCTCAGAAAAACAAAACACAGTCCTATAAATAATGAACTAATATTTTCTTCTTTAGCAAAATGATTTGGACTCTCCTATATCTGTCACTGTCTAGCTCTTCCTTCTTAAGCAGTGACAGCATTATAATGGTTACAGGACTGGAGGGATGGATCAGTAGTTAAGAGTAGATACCTCAGCAGATACTATAGAGGACCAAAGTTCAGTTCCCAGCAACCATGTGAGCAACTTAACAGTCTCCTGTTAAATGCAGTTCCAGGGACTCCAACACCATGTTCTAGTTTCTGTAGGCACCTGTACTCAGATGTACATATTCTTCCAACACGCATACATAAACATAATAAATAAAAATAGAGCTGGAGAGATGGCTCAGTGGTTAAGAGCACTTGCTGTTCTTCCAAAGGACCCAGATTCAGTTCTCAGCAGTCACATGGCAGCTTACAACTGCCTATAACTCCAGTTTGGGGAATGCCCTATTCTTGTCTTTACTGGCACCAAGCATGCATGAAGTGCACACACATACATGAAGTCACTCACATACACATTAAACAAAACAAAAATCTTAAAAGTCACTTAATCACTTTCTCTCTCTCTCTGATCTTCAAAGTCTTACCTTGTAAGGGCTAATTAGTCGTTTTTTAATGTCCAGTCTGTAGCTTCTGTATTGTTCAGCATCACTCATGTCAGTTACGAGCAGTCGGAGAATTTCATAAACCCGTCTAGCATGTTGCTAAACAAATGAAACAAAAAAAATGTGAACATTTTCACACTAAAGAGAGACAGTTTTTCTAAAAGAACACAGAGTGTATATATATATATATATATATATATATATATATATATATATATATATATATTTTTTTTTTTTTTTTTGGTTTTTCGAGACAGGGTTTCTCTGTGGCTTTGGAGGCTGTCCTGGAACTAGCTCTTGTAGAACACAGAGTATATTTAATATCTGTAATAGGCAAAGAATTATGATGATTGGTAGAGGAAAAATAAAACATAGTCTTTGTTCTCAAGAAATGAGTAGCTTTGCAGGTAACAAATGACTGAGGTGTTCTAGGACATGATGGTAGCACAGCCGGGGAATGTGGGAAATGGTTGAAGAGTATTCTTGTGAGAATGAAAAAGAAAATTCAAGTGTTCTCCCTCACAGTCTCTTTCCTTCCAGCTGTGGACCTGGGGACCTAACCTGAGGACCCACATACCCAAGACCTACCAATGAGTTAATATCCCCAGCCTCTAGTCTGGATCCAAAGAGAGGAAAGCATTATCCTAGAAATGGGAGGGCACTGTGTGTAAATTTATGCACAAGCATATACACACAGAACACAGCTTGTTACTGCTGGAGGGAAAAAAACAACAGGAAGAAGACACCAGGGAAGGGACTGGTAGATACAGGGTTAAAAAACCAGACTCCAACCTGGTCACTATCAAGTTTTTCAATAGGAACAAAAGTGGTATGTACAAATTTCTAATTTAAGGAAATAATTTTTAAACTGAATACAAACAGTGCAAAAATGAGGGTAGAGAAATCAGTTAAACCACTAGGAGCTGTAGCTTAATGGTGAAACACTAACCCAGCATGCATGAGGTCCTAGAAGAAAGGAGAGAGGGGTAGAGGCAGAGACAGAGGGAGGGGAGAGGAAGGCGGGGAGAAGCTATGAAATCAGAGAAATGGCTCTTGCAGAAGACCTGGGATCAATTCCCAGCACCCATGTGAAGGCTAAAAGCCACCTATAACTCTAGTTCCAGGGAATCTGATGACCTCTTCTGACCTCTACAGGCCCCTACACACATGTGATATACATATAATAGGGTACATATACATACACAGAAAAATAAAATATTTTTAAAAGCTAAGCTATTACACTAGGCAATCTTCTCTTTCACTTAAAAAAAACAATAAACACAATGAACACATGAACTAAAACATAAGTAAGAATATTAGGGAGACAAGGGCTCTATAGAGTTGTGTAAGAAATAACTGGGGAAACTGAAATGGCAGGATTTTTATAGAGCAGAGAACAGAGAGGAAGGTGACCATCTAACTTGGGTCTAAAGGTTCAGGATTTCAACAGTTCAGCATATATGTAAGAGTTCCAATTATGTCTCAGGACAGCTAAAAAGACAGATTAAAGGGCTGAGGGCAAAGCTAAGTGGTAATGCACCTACCTATCTAGCATTTGGGTTCAATCATCAGATGGCAGTGTAAAATGGGGAAGGAAGGAAGGAAGGAAGGAAGGAAGGAAGGAAGGAAGGAAGGAAGGAAGGAAGGAAGGAAGGAAGGGACGAAAACGGTAGGGGGAGGAGATTAAACTAGATTAGCAAATTTTGGTACACTGAAGTCAGAGGGATAGTGTCTTTTCTGTTTGATACTTCAATTGTGAACTTATTTTGGTGGCAAGGTAGGACATGGGAATTCTGTGGGAGGACTATCTCAGCTTCCTAGAAGAGTCTGTGAGTTGAAATACTGAGTACTATCTAGCCAGGCAAATAGAGGAAGTATTTTCAATAAAAGGAATAATATTTATACAGAGACAGAAGTCAGATTTGGCATTCGTTAGAAATTGTAAGAAATTCAGCAAAGCCAAGAGCTTGCACAAAGTTGGAAGGAAGCTGAAAATAGCAAGGTGCAGGTAAGACACAATGAGCTCAGCATGCCCTACTCAGCAGTTTCCTTTTTTTTTTAAACCATCATTTGTTAAAAAGTGTTCATCTATATTTTAAAAGCCGAACTATTAATTACTCAGTAAATACAGGTTTGATATAGTAAATAGACAAATTATTTCTAAGTATATATTCTTTATTTTAAATAGGAAGTCATTAAAGGGTAGATGATGGAGTTTAGTTCACATTGTATTGCTGAAAGTAAGCAACAGATTTTTGGCTATAGTTCTTAAGCTCATGGAGAAAACTTTAGATTTGATGGTTTAGATGAAATCTCCCAAGTAGAATGAGAAAAATATGAGTATAAAGAAGTCTGCAGAAGAGTTACATTTAAGAAGCATCTGAAAGAATAGAAACTAGCTGGGCAGTGATAGCACATACCTTTAATCATAGCAGTTGGGAGGCAGAAGCAGGCAGAACTTTGTGAGTTCGAGACTAGCCTGTTCTACAGAGCTAGTTCCAGGACAGCCTCCAAAACTACACAAGGAAACCATGTCTCGAAAAAACAAAAGAAACAAACAACAAGAATAGAAACTAGCAGAAGTGTTATAATTAGGGTTAAAATGTGCATGGAAATCCAGGAAGACAGAGTCATGTGGATCTCTGTGAGTTGAGGCCAGCTTGGTCTACAGAGTGAATTCCAGGACAGCCAAGGATGTTACACAGAAACCCTGTCTTGAAACACCCACCACAAATGGAAATTCCATTAACTTTATTAGTTAATTATTTGAATGTGAAAAAAAGCACTGTCTTTCGCATGAAGTACCCTGACTCTCTTTCATGAATATGTACTAATATATATAACTTCTTTGACATCCCATGTTTTTCCTATCCATATATTTATGACTTTAAAATTTAAACAAATATACAGCATAAAAAATGGCGGCTAGTGAGATGTCTCAGTGGGTGAAGATATAAGCAGTCAACCCTGATTACCTGAGTTTAATCCCTGGAGCCCATGTGATAGAAGGAGAAAACCAATTCTAGGAAGCTGACCCTCTGACCTTCACACCTGATTGGAGGAAAATGTGTGCCCCCCAGACTCAAACATTGAAAACAAATGATAGAAAATGAAAATTATACATTTTTTAGCACCTTTCTACCAATACATCTCCAGGGATAGAATTACTTCACAGTTTAGTGTTTTAGGGCTGGAGAGACAGCTCCGAAGTTAAGAGAACTGCTGCTCTTTTGGAAGACCTGATTCCATTCTCCGCACCTACATGGTGGCTCACAACTGTCAGTTTCAGGGGATCGGATACCTTCCAATTTCCTCGGTACCAGGCACACACATGTAGCATAGAAGTACATGCAGGCAAAACATCAGACACATAAAATAAATCTTCCACCCAAAAAGCTTAATTTTAAAAAGACTTTACTGAATTTTCATATGGGGATGGTGGTGGTGGTGGTTCAAGTCTTGTACCAACGGCCACGTGAGAGGTCAGAGGACAACTGTTGCCTTTCCACCTTCACCATGTGGATCCTGGGGACTGAACTCAAGTCACTAGGCTTGGCGGCAAACTTCTTTCCCACTAAGCCATTCTGCCAGCAGAGTTTATCTTTTTTACTCATTTTGATCTGCTTATTATACTTAGTACAACAAAACAGGTATTCTCTTCTCCTTTATCCGTAAGGAAAATGAATACTTAGTACAATGTAATATATTCCCTCATCATTCTGTCATTAGGAATGTGAAGTACAAACCATAAACTAAACTGCTCTAGACAACAGAGCCACGTTCTAGACGTAGGCTTGAACCTGGCAGAACCTACACTTTAACCACTGTTGCTTCCCACACAGCTTAATGTTCCTTAAAAAATTTTTAGGTGTTTTCCTCCAACAAAATAAAATAAAAAATACCTTATTTATTTTGAACTTCTGCTGTGCTTGTATCGCCATATCTTCATTGAATCCTTGCATTAATCTTTCCCGGGAGAAACAGGGCAAATCTTGACAAAGCTTCACAAGCACGAAGTCTCTTAGTTTCACATAGCTTTTGGATGGATCTTCAGCTAAAAAAGAAAAGGAAAAGAAAGAAAAATATAGCACTGCCCTTACCCAACACAGTTCCACCATCATTTATAATCTCAGTAACATAGTAACATTCTGAAAAGAAAAGCATATTCAAAAGTTCCAATATTAAAGATCATTTCTGATAACTACTGTATTAAATAAAATGGTAGGTATGCTTTACAAAGACATTTATACTATTTATGAAATGAGAACTGCTCGTTTGCACATTTGTTGTTTGATTGGAATGTTACCACACGCACCTTCATTTTAACTGCAGGCAAACTAGCCATATTAACAAAATAGTCAAATTTCAAATGCATTCATTTTTTGATAGCTAAGAATTCCAAGGTCAACTATCACTTTCTCTCTCTCTCTTTTTTTTAAGGGACTGGGCCTAGTGACTCTTCTTTTTTTTAATTATTTATTTTTATTTTATGTGCATTGGTGTTCTGCCTGCATGTATGTCTGTATGAACATATCAGATCTTAGAGTTATAGACAGTTGTAAGCTGCCATGTGGGTGTTGGGAATTGAATCAGGATCCTCTGGAAGAGCACTGGGTGCTCTTAACCACTGAGCCATTTCTCCAGCCCAGCTATCAGTTTCTTTTAAAAGACCTTTTTTTGTTGTTGTTTTCTAGACAGGGTTTCTCTGTAGCTTTGGAGCCTGTCCTGGAACTCACTCTGTAGACCAGATTGGATTTGAACTTATAAAGCTTTGTGAATTATACATCTTCTATTATTACACTGTACCCACAACCGGCCCAAAAGAAATGTTAGAATTCTAAGTAAATGAAGACATTTCATGCTAACATTGGAAGACTCATTACTAAAATGGCCATCCTCTTCAAATTGGTCATTCAACCCAAGCTTAAAACTCAAGAACCTTTATTTATGTTTTCGAGAATTTGATCAACTGATTCTATGGCTTTTATGGATACACAGTGAGCATATATAAGCAAAACAATTCAGAGAAAGAACAAAGTTGGAGGACTTCTTTTTCTAAATTCAATGTAAAGATCAAGGTGTTGGTGCCACTAGCAACTCTACACCTCAAGGAAAAGAAAGGGAGACCACAGAGGCAGTTAGTACAAAAGCTCCAAGGAGACCAATGCACAACTCCAGGTTGATAAACAGGCCATATACAGAAGAGGAATAAAGATGGTTGAGTTAGGGGGGCAGGAGAACTACCCTTTCCAGAAGAACTTTAGCTCCAGGCAAGAGTAAGAACAACTGCCAGCAAAAGCACAAAGGTGTGAAAGATTCATCACCACAGGCAACTACATGACACAACCAGAAAAGCCACTCATCTGGATCAGACAGGACAAAGGAACTCTGAAGTGGGCCCCAGGACCACTGCAGCACTCCTTCATGCTGACAGGGAGAGGTAGAGAAAGAAGTATGTAGACCGTTCCACCCAAATAACAAAATTGCAGTTTCTATTTTTGTTGTAGAAGTACAAACCTTTGAGTTTATAATGATGCCTAGGTGAGGAGAAAAGTTCCTGTGAGGTATGCCACATGTTAGCGTGACTGGCTAGAGATAAGCTACCATCTGTTGACTGAGTACTCCAGATTCCACCTTTCCTTCTCTGCCCTCCCTCCTATTCCTGCTAACCTGGTCATACCTTGCAAACATCAATAAACTTGTTTACTCTGTAGCACCCAAGTGAAAAACAAGCTTTACAAATTCAACTTTTATACTGTATAGACTAAACTTTACATTACCATAAAAATCATATAAAAGTTATATAATGGTACATTAGAACAGACAGATTATTACAATATTTAATAAGCTATCATACTTTTGGTCAACCAATTTTCAGCAAAGACACCTCAGCAATTCAACAGGGAAATATACTTTTCAACAAACAGTACTAGAACAACTGAGAAGCTACATGAGGAAAGATGAACTTAACCAGAGTGTGTAGCAAACATCAGCCATCCAGCATTTGGGAAGCAGAGGAAGGAGGCACATCTCAAGTTTGAGGCCATCCAGGAGCTTGGTCCATTAGTTAGTTGTAGATTTCTGCATCCACTGTCAAATTTTTTTTAAATAGTTTTAAACAAACAACTACAAACTGATAATGTTTTGTTTGCGGCTTAATAACAGCGTCACACCACCACTTGTGCTTTAAGCTCTTTATTACAAGGGTCAGCTTAAAAATGTTCCTAAAATGATGATATCCAATAATTTGTGACGTTCTTCAATTTCCTTGGCTTTAATTATACAAAGAAGCTGGAGATGTAGCTCAGTTGGTAGAGTGCTTTTCTAGAATATACAAGGTCCTGATTAAATCCCCAGCACTGCTTTAAAAACCCAGCATGGTAATACATGCCTGTAATCCCACCACTTGTGAGGAATAAGCAAGGTTATCAGGAATTATACAAGTTCAAGGCCTTCTCTCAAAAACAGGGCTATGGGGCTTGGAGAGTGTCTCAGTGGGCATGAAAATCTGTGTTCAGGTCACACCACTCATTAAAAACCCAGGTGTTGGCCCCGTGCTGCTATAACTCCAATGCTTTGGAATGGAAAGCAAAGGCAAGAACATCACTGGGGCCTGCTAACTGCCCATTTGGCTTCAGAGGTTCAGTAAGAGACTGTCTCAATGGAGTAAGGTAGATAATGATGAAACAGGACATTCAACATTCTCCTCTAGTCTCTGAATGCATATGCAAAAGCACATGCACTTAGCATACATACATGTGTATACACCATACATAGACTACATTCACATAAAATATATTTGAAGATAAAATTTGCTTGAATATAAATCAGCTTGCCAGACCCTGGTGGCACATGCCTTTAATTCCAGCACTTGGGAGGCAGCAGAGGCAGGTTGATCCCTATGAGTTTAAGGCCAGCCTAGTCTACAAAGTGAGTTCCAGGACACCCAGGCTATTATACAGAGAAACCCAGTCTTGCAAAACAAAAAAAACAAAAAAACAAAAACAAAAAAAAAAACAAAACCCAAAAAGTCATCTTGTAGTATTAAGTGTTCTACCATGTTTAAAAGCCTATCTGTATTAATATTACATTAAAATATTTTAAAGAAAATGAGATAACACAAATCAGCCAAGTATATAAAAGTCCACATTAACATTTTAAAAATTTGTATAACCCATTTTAGAACAAGGGGCTTTAAGAATAAATATTAGTTGTTAATATACTATTGGTAGATTAAATAATGCTGAAAATCAACTTCTACTGTCCAATGAAACAAATTGTAGATTCCATCTATATTCTGAGAAATATTCAAATGCTATCCCTCTAGAAACTGACAGCCTCAAAATAAAGACAGTGTATAATAATAAGGAACTGTCTGCCAATAAAGCTGAAGCAAAAATTAAAGTGGACAGAAATTGCATCTCAAATATGTATCCCCTGAGAATAGAACCCAAGCAACCAATGATTAAATATTAATTATAATTATTTCTGCCAAAATGTTAAGGAAGCAAAGGCCACCTCAATACTAACACCCTGGATTTCAAAGGCAGACCCAAAGCCTACAGAAAAGCCACTAAGTTAAAAATATAAAATAATGGAGAAATAGACAACTAAATAACTAGAGCATAAAATTCATTAAGTTTTTTTTTAATGCTAAAAGGACCCTGTATGGAACCTAAGAGAAACATATTAATGAGAGCAGCTAACGAAGCATTTTTAGCATTTTGTAATGCCAAGATATGTGAATGCTGAAAATAAAAAGGTCGATACTCAGTTGTCAAATTCAGATGTCCTTTTAGCATGTTTAGCTTTTCTCTTTAAAGACTTCAGTTTCTAATGAATCATAGCAATGAATAAAGGATACTATTATTAATGACTCTTCACTGAGATTTAAGAAAGAAAATTCTTTATCTGCTAATTGGTGCTAAGTATCAAGGACTTTATTGGCTAGAATAGAGAGAAAAAAGTAGTTAAGAGGCTTCAGAGAAACAACCCTTGCTGGCACATTACCCACTAGAGGAGACAAAGACTACTTATGTGAACTCCAGATTAAAATCACCAAAAATGTCCCCTCATGTAGCACCAAGCCCAAGCTGCCAGTGAACAGAAGCTAGCAACTTTGGCTCAGCTCAAAGCAGTGACAGAACTAGCTATACTGTCCTGATCATATTACAGGTCACAAAAAGTAGTGGTGTGTGTCCCTTAATAGCTTCTGATATAAGGTAAACTGAGTAATTACTTGCTTATCGCTGATGTTTCAACTCCTTTTGACAGCAGTGAGTCAGAGGAAAAGATAAGTCAATACTGTAAATGTGGAACTCCCTTTTAGAACGCTGATCTGGTAGAGCTCAATGGTAGAATGTTTCCTAGCATGCACAAGGCCCTGGGTTTGATTCTCATCACAGCAGAAACAAACAAACAAAAAAAACCTACATGCGTTCCCTCTAGTTATTTGTTTAAAGCATTTAAAGAGCACCCATGCATTAATTTTCATGTAAACCAGAATTCTCTAGACCGTAGTTGGGGGAAAGGTTAAATATTAGTTAAGAGAAGACAATTCACTATTCTGACAGCTCTATTTTTTCTTCTTGAGCAAGCAAAATCCACATATTTTATGAAAAAAAAATCTGCCCGTTAGCTTATTTCATAAGTTTTCGAGTCCTATAGTCAACATTTTTTGTTGCTATTGCTTTTTTAAACAATGATAAAACTTTAAAACATCATTTTAAAACAGGTTACTGTTTTAGAGCATGTTAAAATCTGAATTTTAGAAACCTGGTGTCTAAGTCAGTTGTGATGGCATAGGTCTTTACTCAGCAGTCAAGGATGAGTTAGGAGGTTCTCAAACTCAAGGCTTGCCTAGCTTACATGACGGAAACCAATCTGAGCAACACAGAAATCAGGTCAAATAATCCAAAATATATATCCTCATTTATGTACTTATTTTGAGGCATTGGGGATCAGACTCCCAGGCCTCATGTATCCTAGGTGAGCATTTTACCGTTCAGTTCTACTATATCCTAATTTCATACTTAAGCCTTTATAAAATAAACATTAATATGTAACTTGGATGTGAATATCTTGTACAAGGAAGCAACTTTAACTGAAATGGATGTAACCAAAAGATTTTTGAGAATTTTTTCCCTTTCATCGTCATCTTTTGGGGGGGGCTATTTTTATAGTTTACTATTTGGAATCCTTAATTTGAAAATCTATTTTAGAAATCTGAAATTTTGAATATCAGGTTGGTACTTTAAAAAATCTTGAATTTTGAAATTAGAAACAAAACAAAAAGTTTGGGGGGTGGGGGCTACTCCAATCAATCTAAGTTCAGTCCTAGCACCCACATCCAGTGGCTCACCGCTACCTCTAACTCTAGCTCCAGGGATCCAATGCCCTTTATGGCCACACACACTAAAATAATCTTCAATTGTGGACTTCAAATTTCCAGATTGAGGATGATCAGCCCTATAGACCACACATGAAGGGGGAAAAAGAGTGACTCCCAGGTTTTTTAAAATTTGATTTACTCTTTAATCCCAGCACTCAGGAGGCAGAGGCAGGCGGATCTCAAACTCTCAATCCTCCTGCCTCAGCCTCTTGAGTGCTAGGATTATAGGTACATGTGCTACAACATCTGGCAGTGACTTTCAGTTTACTCAGCAACAACAAACCTGAACATTACTCAGGCCAAGAAAATGACATCTGCTGTGTAGTGACGCACACCTTTAATACCAGGACTGGGACAGTAGAAGCAGGCAGATCTCTACAGTTCCAGGCCAGCCTGGTCTACAGAGTGAGTTTCAGGACAGCCAGGGCTAAACAGAGAAACTGTCTCTAAAAAAACAAAAAACAAAAACAATAGCAGCAACAACAAAAGTATCCTCTATTAAGGAACTGTTACTCCCCCCCACACTATGATTTAAAATTAATGTGCAGGTATCTTCTAAATGATGAAAATGTTTGCCAAATAAGCTGAACAAATAAGTTATATCATACTTGCAATGCATTTATGTCTGACCAGGATTTCCCCAAATATATATTTACTTCACTATTTTTAATTTGTTCACTTCAATTAGGAATACAGTCCAATTTTCATAAAAGTGTATGGTCTAAAATATAACCTAAAGGCAATCTTCAGTCCCCTAAAGGCCCCAGGAGAATGCTAGCACTTAAGACAGAAATAAAACTATTAAGATGTTTGAGAAAGGCTCTTTTAGTAACATAAAATTTTACATACCTGTAATATCAAGAACTGAAGGAGATGCAATGTAGTATCTATGAACTGTTTCAAGAAGTTGAGCACCATGGCCCTGACCTTGAAATGGAGTCAGTATCAGCATCTGACTATAGTAAAGAAATCATTCTAAATTAAAACATCACATCATGGCCAGTTAAGAGATCAAATTATGATAGTATAAATGTTGGTGCTTTTTAAAAATCAAACTTCAAGAAACTGAAAAATTACTAGCATACTCAAAATTGGTTTCCTCTGCCAGACAGTTTCAAAGAAAACAATAAATCAGTACATAGTCAATGAACGGTGATTTTTTTTTTAAACAAATCAACACTACTATAACAAGTATTGGAAACTTCAGCAGTTCCTTCTGAAATAAAGACAAGGCACGTGTTATACTGCCAATTACCTTACACGTGGCCGGGTTTTGTCTGGGTACACATAGTAATTATAGACTGTCATGTAGCCTACGGTCGCAAAGAGCGTAGCTCCATCCTTATTATACTTCTCAAATCTGCAGATAAAACAGAAAGCCAAGCAGGTCAATTACAGTCGCGCTCCCATGCAGTGTCCATTTTCTTTTCCATTCTCTGACTGAATTTTCAGTGTCAGCAAGCTACTCTGTGAGGGCCCAATGGGTACACCTGCTATGTTCTGAATGTACAATTCACTTAATTGGTGTGCAGCAACTTGGATAAATCAGACCTCTTTACATCACTTCAGTGCACTTGCCTATTATAAAGATGAATAGGTGGCAAGTAAAAGAAAACACAGGCAAAGCTCATTTTACTGTTTAAGCCTACATTCAGGGCCCTAACAGACAACAGCATTTAATTCAGCTCTATTCTCAAGTCCCCCAAAGCATAATGAAGGCAAACTCAAGCCCCATAAACAATAGTTTTTCTTTCCTGGGAAAAATATCATTATACTGTCCCCAATAATTGGGCTGCCACAATTAAAAAGCTGGCTTTGTGGAGGTAATAAGGTCCACTGTTGCTTTAGAACTGTACTTACACTAGAAAGTAGTGCCATCTTTCATCATCCACGTCAATAAAGCTAGCAGTTTCAATAAACCACATCAAAAAGGTCTGAAGCCTTTCATGATATTCTCGAAAGCCTCTACATGTCATGTCAGCCTAGGGAAAAAGCCAGGAAAAGTCAGGTGAAACTCATCACTGAGGTAAGTGAAAGTCTGCAGAGCACAAAACTATCTACCCTGTGGGAAACATTTACAAGACTCAGGTTAAATATGTACACAAACATACAGTAAAAACAGAGCTGTTTTTAGTGTCAATAGAAACCATTTTTTCTGATGCTAGAATTATTGAATATACAATCCTATACAGGTTCCAGGCAAAGGAAAATATTTCTTTTTACCTTATAGATCTGAAAAGTAAAGTTTTCTCCTCCTGTTGGACAAGAAACTGAGTATGTATGGAGTAGGGTTCCAAACGGCTTGAAATCAGCTTCCTTTTCCAGCAAAGAAAGAAAATCATTTGTGTTTGTGCAAAACCCAGGTGGGATGATTTGTCTGATTTTCCCTTCAACATCATCTGCCTGAAGAATAGAGGATGAAGAACAAAAATTAACAAATTTAGTTTTTAGGTGAAAATGTTTTATTTCTTTCTTTTTTTTTTTGTTTTTTGTTTTTGTTTTTGTTTTTGTTTTTTTTTTTTGAGACAGGGTTTCTCTGTGGCTTTGGAGGCTGTCCTGGAACTCACTTGGTAGTCCAGGCTGGTCTCGAACTATGCTTTATTTCTTTAAGATGGACAAAACTGGTTTAAGTGTAGTGATTAATCCCAGCACTCAGGAAGCAGAAGCAGATGGATCTCTGTGAGTTTGAGGCCAGACTGGTCTACAGAGCAAGTTTTAGACCAGCCAGGGAGAGAACCCATGTTTTAAAACAAAACAAAAAAAATTTTAATGGACAAAATCAACAACTACCACAACAAAAGAAGCAAACAATGCAGTGAAATGAGAAAGGTTAGGTTTTATATAAACAGATTACTCTCAAGTCTGAGATAAGCACTAACATAAAAATGCACTAGAGGAGGCAGGCGTCTAATGGGGAGTGCAACCAACAGGCAAATTTTAATCTCTGAGTTTAATTTTGTTGTCCAGTCTTTTCTCTTTTATATGATCACAAATCCAAGTCTATGAAAGTTGTCACATTGTGGAGTGCCATTTAGATTTTTAACATCGTACAGAAAATGATTATTACCTACCACCCTTCAAGACAACCTTAAGCCAAAACAAAAGGTTGATTATTATTATATACATGTCAAAGAAACCATGTTACCCAAGACATGAAAAGATCACCAGCAGCAAGTGGTAAGGCTAGATAGTCTGACCAAATGAATAGCAAAGTAGACAGATAAGATCCTCATATGCTACATTAAGATGATAATTTTTAAAGTATCTCCACTTAGGAAATACAAAAATCATATGAATGGTTACATTATCCACCCATCTCCACAATGTGACAACTTTCATAGACTTGGATTTGTGATCATATAAAAGAGAAAAGACTGGACAACAAAATTAAACTCAGAGATTAAAATTACCCTTGTTAAACAACCTCAATGAATGAAAACTATCAGCTGAGCAGACTTCATAATCCTTTTGAAAACCCCAAAGACCACTTGATTGAATACATTTACTACTTCTCTTTGACCATGAATATTTGATGAAGTCTTACAATAAAGTATTACTGCTTCTCACCAGGCAATAAAACTTAATGAATTGGTCTCAACTTAACAAAACCTTATCCTTCAATACAGTCCCTAAAAGCCTGACATTACATTCAACAAAATGAGCTTGCATTCTATTCAAACTTTTTCCTGAACAATGAGGCCAGGTTTTTACTTAATGGAGTTTGCCGTGAGTTCAGCTGTAATGTTTGTATTGTATCTATTTCCACAAGGACTGACACAAGAACACTTTGTGTTAACTTACTAAGCAGCTCTTTCATACCGTTTACATGCATGATGGGTATTAGTTCTAAACCAAGACCCTTGCTACTTAGCATTCAAAACAGGGAAATTAAGATGCTTAGGACAAAATACACTACAAAAGGCTAATACAACATGCTACTAATTCCTATCCTTTCAACCATCTTTTAACTAAGTAGGAGCAATGCACCTGCAGATGAATGGTACTTTATTATCATTGAGTTACATTTTAGGATAGAGATACAAGGACGCGGAGCTTATCATAATTGAGTTTTATTTTCAATGCTTTGGTACCAACATTTACATATGATTTATTTATGGTCATAAAAATAAGCTATTACTTAAAATATGGCTTTCAACATTCTGGTTAACAGTGTATTTCTAAAGTGTACAGCAGTACTTGCAAGTCATCCTCAATTGCAAGTAAACTAAGTTTGATAAATCTACTTTATTTTAAAAATACATATGATTTGATAAATATTTTCCCTGGAACTGTGCGAAGAGATATCCAATTTTCAATAATTGCATGAGAAAGTATTTAAAAAAAATAATTGCAATAGATTTATGTAGTAATTAAAAAATATTGATGGGTAAAACAGCACAGTGTAATTGTAGTTCTGGTTTTTAAATGTCAGGAAAAAACACAATTAAAAAAAACTCTTCAGGGCAACCTAAACATTGTGATTTTAAATTTTTAAACTTGTGGTTTTAAACCTTACTTTCCTTATGTCGTATCTCGGAAGCAAGGCAGAGCTACAGAAACACGATGAGTCACTTTACCCATCTTTCATCTAGAAACCAACTTCAAAGATCTCTGTAATGTCTAGGTTTCAAGTCACAATTCTGTTGAAAGGTAAACTACCCTCAAATCCTACCTTAAACAAATTGAAAGAATACTTAACTTTCAGTATTCAAAGATATTTACTCAATAAACACCTTTACATACAATCTTGTTTGTGCACCATGCATGCCTGTGCCCAGGGAGGCTGGAAGAAGGAATCAGATGCCCTGGAAATAGACTTACTGGTGGTTGTGAGTCACTATGTAGGTGCTGGGAATGGAACTTAGGTCCTCTACACAAGCAGCCAGCACTTTTAAGCACTGAGCCATCTATCCAACCCTTTGAAATATTTTAAAGAACACACTTTCTCACCATGGCCATTTAGAGTTCCAATGTCCTATGCTTTATTACATGAGAAAATGTTCCTATGGAACAACTTTTGCTTTTCTTTATCACTGCACAAAGCAATGTGCCTGAGAAAAACTAGTAATATGTTATAATATTTAATTTTCTTTTAACTTATACATATTTGGAAGTACAATAATCTTTCTAGTATCTTATCTTAAGCAGCACTGTTTGTCTTAAGTTTGTCCCTGGTGAGTTATTTTTGAGGTTACAATTAAAGGCATGTTAAGTAAGTGGAACATGCAATTCTTTACTTGGCTTATGAGTCACAAGATTTAGCATATTACTATAATTCTAAGACTATCTAAGATATGCTACAAGAAGCAAAAGAAGTTGTTTCTTGTTAATTTGCTTCCCTTCTCCCTTTCCTTGTCTCAGTCCTTTGAGACAAGGTCTCTCTGTGTTGCCCTGGCTGTCCTGAAACGCACTCTGCAGACCAGACTGGTCTCAAACTCAGACATCTGCCTGCCTCTGCCTCCCAAATGCTGTGATTAAAGGCATGTGCCGCCACCACCAGATTTGCTCACTCTCATATTGTGATATTTCAGCTTTAAATGGCAGGTAAGAGGATCCCACCATCAAGGCCAACCCAGGCTATATGAGTTCAAGGTGAACCTGGGCCAGTTAGTAAGAATCTGTCTCAAAAAAACAAACAACAACAGAAAACCCATCTGGGGATATAGCTCAGTGGCAAAGTGCTTGCCTAGTGTATGAAAAACCCTAGACTCCATCCTTAGTACTTTCCTAAAAAGAAGTTAAAGATAACAAGAAACAAAAATGCTTTCCTCTGTCAAGTTCAATCCTCATTAGAGGACAAGAATAAAATAACTAGAAACTCATAACTAATACAACCTCCCTGTACATCTCATGTTCTCTATCAACTCTCTCCCAGAAATGCAACTAGAAAGAGTTTATATACTCCTTCATTTAGAATGAAATTACCTCAAAAGACAGAGGAATTAAAAAAGCAAAGGACAAGCAAAGATGAAAACATCAATGTCTAAATAATCAAGTTGGTTGTAAAATAATGACCAGTAAAGAGGTTTCTCTGGCATCTTACCTGTGCTACAGAATTTTAGGTACAACTGTAGAACTCAGCTTGGGGGAAAAACAAGATGATAAAAGATTAACGAAAGGGAGTAGTGAGATGTTCATCAGGTAAGAGTGCCAGTCACTAAGCTTAGTGACCTGAATTCGCCTCCCAGGACCCGTAAGGTAAAAGTAAAGAACTAACTCTCAGAAGTTTTTCTCTGGTCTCCATGCATGGACTCTGGCACATGTGTGCCCCCAACACATACACATATACATAGGCATGCAGATGTAAAAAAAAAAATGAATATAATAGCAAAACTGCAATAAGCAAATTAACTTTTGCTATTCACACCTTAAGAACATATGCTTGTTTTTTTGCTTTTTTGTTGTTTTGTTTTGTTTTTTCTGTTTTTTGAGACAGGGTTTCTCTGTGTAGCTTTGTAGACCAGGCTGGCCTCGAACTCACAGAGATCCACCTGCCTCTGTTTCCTGAGTGCTGGGATTAAAGGCGTGCATCACCACCGCCCAACTAAATCTTCTTTTTTTCAAGACAGAGTTTCTCTGTATTGTTTTGGAGGCTGTCCTGGAACTTGCTCTGTAGACCAGACTGGCCTTGAACTCACAGAGTTCAACGCCTGGTCTTTTTTTTTTTTTTTTGAGATAGAGTCTCAACTGCAATGTTCTGGTTTTATCTCCCTTCTTTCACTTTAACCCACTATAGCAGGTTCTCTGCAAGCCACAGTTTTGTTTTGTTTTGTTTTGTTTTGTTTTGAGACAAGGTCTTAAACGGCCCAGGTTGGCCCCAAACTTGCCATGAAGCTAAATATGGTTTTTAACTCCAGAACTTTCTACAAGCCCCCCACTTTCAGGATGCTGGGATTACAAGCATGTACACATGCCAGCCTACCTTCTTAAAATGTGAATTATATTGTATAACCAACTCACCACCTATTTAAAACCTATAAAGGCTACTATTCTTGCCTCTTAGCAATACCTTATCCTTACACAGAAAATTCCAAGGCATTGCATAATCTAATTTGCCAGTCTCTTCAACCATCCCAGCAAGAGTTCCAATACTCTCTGAATTTATTATATGTTTATGGTAAATGCTCCAAGAACAGAGAATGTTTCATTTACTATATTCCTGGCAGCAGCGAAAGACCTAAGTGTGGTTCCCAGCATCCACACTGGGTGGTTCACAACTGCCTGTAACTCCCGCTCCAAGGGATCCAAAGCTCCTTTCTGATCTCTTTGGGTACCCACATTCACATGCCATACTGACTTGCAGACACACTACATAATATACATAATTAATGGGGAGGAAAAAGGACACAGGAAGTTATGGGGAATGAGTATTATTGCTGCAAACTGAAACAGAATAAGCCAGCCTACTATATCTATATCAACTACCATTCTTTAAAAAAAAAAAAAAGGAAAGGGATCTTTCCTTAACACTAAACAAATGATCTTTGACCATGAAGCAAATAAGTAACCCTACAAAAACACTATATAAGATTGATTGATTTCTTTTTGTTTGTTTGTTTTACGAGACAGGGTTTCTCTGTGGCTTTGGAGGCTGTCCTGGAACTAGCTCTTATAGACCTGGCTGGTCTCAAACTCATAGAGATCTGCCTGCTTCTGCCTCATGAGTGCTGGGACTAAAACCATGCACCACCATGCTTTTTGATTGATTTCTTATACTTAACACAGTACTTCTTAATGGAAACCCTGGTTTTCAGAAATGGAACAACTGGAAGTTAATACAAATAGCTATTTTCACTACGTGCAGTATTTGAAAGATTTATCAATAACCAAGTCAATAGTTCTCATGGAAGAAATCAATTTAGTACTATTAGCTTCAACATTACAACACACACACACGCCTCAAATGACAGTGATTTTGTACTGCACAAAGGAAAACATTAGCTGTATTTGAAATCAGAATACTTATGAAATATTTGCATTCTAGAGAAATTTAACTATAAGAAAATCTCATTACTGAAAACCTCTATTTTAATAATTTATTCAATGTTAGTTCAGATGGAATTTAGTTGCAAACATTTACTTCTCACAATTGCAGTATTATTCACAATCATCTTTCTATCAGCAAAATTAAAAGAAGATTTCAAGAAATACAAACTATCAGGTAGAGCAAATACTAAGTACAATTACATATTATTTTTCTGTCAAGCTTGGTAATTTTAAGCATGACCGAGAAGTACATGAAAAAAAAAAAAAAAAGAACAAGTAGTACTCAAAATACTTCTAACACTAATATTGAATATATATATCCTTTTCTTTCTAAAACTAATTACTTTATTATTGTTCTGTGTATGAGTGTTTTGTCTGCATACATGTGTGGATGTATGTATACTGTGTGTGTCTGTGCTTACAGAGACAAGAAAGGGAAGAAAGGGTGTCAGATCTCCTAGAACTATAGTTATACAGACCATCCTGAGCTGCCTTGAGGGTGCTTGGAATGCAACCCCAGTCTTCTGAAATAGCAGCCAGTGCTCTTTTTTTTTTTTTTTTTGGTTTTTCGAGACAGGGTTTCTCTGTGACTTTGGAGGCTGTCCTGGAACTCACTTAGTAGTCCAGGCTGGTCTCGAACTCACAGAGATCCGCCTGCCTCTGCCTCCCGAGTGCTGGGATTAAAGGTGTGCGCCACCAACGCCCGGCCAGCCAGTGCTCTTTAACTTGTAAGCCACATGTTGAGCCTGCGACTGTTTCTTGATATATTTGAGGCAAAAGATATATCAGTTACTCTGCACTGACCTTTACACATTGTATGCATGTATTGAAATACTATGTTGTATCCCATAAATATATAAAATCTATTATGAAAGCCAGGAGGTAGTGGCACACACCTTTAATCCCAGCACTCGGGAAGCAGAGGCAGGCGGATCTCTGTGAGTTCGAGGCCAGCCTGGTCTACAGAGTGAGGTCCAGGACAGTCTCCAAAACAATACAGAGAAACCCTGTCTTGAAACCACCCCCCCCCTAAAACATCTAAAAATTAAGACTATTTCAGGCTTCTTTCATGCTATATAGACATTATATATCATTACATTAAACACACCAATACATTATTTTTATATAGATTGTTAAGAAGACCCTTACAATGATACTTGTAAGAGCATAAAACATGGGAGAAGAGAAAAAAACAATCAAGAGGATAAAAATCAGAAGTAAATTTATGGTGGCAGCACATGCCTTTAATCCCAGCACTCAGGAGGCAGAGGCAGGTGGATATCTTTGAGTTCAAGGTCAGTCTGGTCTACAGAGCAAGTTCCATGACAGTCAAGGCTATGTTAAAAAAAAAAACAAAATAAAATAAAAATAAGTTACAAGCCTTCAGAAAGCTGTCATCTTGCACATCTACAATCAAAACAAAAGCCAGTAAGTAAAGATATGCTCATTAAAGTGAAGGTTTTCATAAAGAAGATTCACCCATGAGATGAGCAGACTCAGGGTTATGATCACAGGGTTATAAAAGACACTGGAAAACACCTCCTAGGCTGGGCGGTGGTGGCGCACGCCTTTAATACCAGCACTCAGGAGGCAGAGGCAGGCGGATCGCTGTGGCTGGGCTGGACCAACAGCCTCCAAAACAAGAGAGAAACCCTGTCTCATAAAACAAAAAAACAAACAAACAAAAAAACACCTCCTTTATCTGACAGCAACAACACTGCAATTATGAAGCAACAACATTGCCATTTCTCTCCTCTTCAGAACCTTAACACTTAAGACTTCTGTTATACTCAAGTAGAAAAGTGAAAATATATGTATTTCTGTTCTTACCTCCACACAGTCAAAGTTCTCATCAACTTTAGATGCATATTCAACACGGAACATTGTTGACAGGCTACCAGCAATATAGTACAGCAGGATCTTCAGACCTTTGTAACCAAAAGCAGTTTCACTGAGATGAAAAGCAAAAACAAAAACCAGCCAAAATGAATTTTTGCCAAATCTTCAAACAGTATTACCTATACACATATAAACAAATTTAAAATCTTAAAATTGCCTGTGAAGTTAAACTATACTTGCTTAAAAAATTAGCCAGGCAGTGGTGGCACATGCCTTTAATCCCAGCACTCAGGAGGCAGAGGCAGGTGAATCTCTGTGAGTTTGAGGCCAGCCTGGTCTACAGAGTGAGTGCCAGAATAGGCTCCAAAGCTACACAGAGAAACCCTGTCTCAAAAAACAAAACAACAACAACAAAAAATTAAAGGAACATTCACAATGATACTGGACTCAGCTTCATGTAAAAAAAAAAAAAAAGAGAGAGAGAATCGAGGTGCCTAATTCAGGAAAGCTGTTTGGGTTCAATGAGTATGTTAAACAACAGTGAGTACTGTTATACATTACCTACAGTTACTATGCCTGCTGCTGCTGCTGCTGCTATTGACTAGAAGGCATTTCAGATGAGGTAAGTAGCATTAAGCCAAGACCTAGCTAGGCAAACAGGTAGCCTTGGGCAGGTCCCTTCAGCATACCACTTGCTTTATCACTAGCACCATAGCTGTTCAAAGTAGTGACAACACCCAGCCCTTCTGGGAATTCCAACTCTGATCTCTACTATCATAAAGCACTGATATTCCCTTCTCAAGAGTCTTGGGGGAGGGAGCCTCAATTCTAAAATATCTGGATCAGAAGAATCTACAGACAGTCTGGGACTGGAGGGACTCAAAGTAGGAAGGAGGTTTTTTGGTGAGAGTAATAAAAGCATCTAAAATTGATTATATGGATGAAATTTATCTCAGTAAAGCTGGTTTTCATTCATGTTTTTAAATGAATTATTTTATTTTTTAGACTGATCTATTTTTTTATCATGTGTGTGCCTGCGTGTAGGCAGATCCCTGTGAGTACAGTACCCCAAAAAGCCAGGAGAAGACACTGGACACTGGATGCCTTGAAGCTGGAATCAGAAGCAGCTATGAGCTGTCCAACATGGATGTTGGGAATTGAGCTTAGATTGGATCCTTTGAAAACAGCAGTAAAAGCACTCTCAACTGCAGATTCAAGTTAGCCCCTAAAAAGTAAATTCTTAAAGAGTACTTATAAATAAGAAACAGTTCCAAAACCAGGCTGTGGTGGCTCATGCCTTTGATCCCAAAAGCAGGTAATCTCTGTGAGTTCAGGGCTAGCCTGGTCTACAGAGTGAGTTCCAGAACAGCTGCCAAGGTTACACAGAAAAACCCTATCTCAAATGATTTCTGTCGAGGCTACCAAAATATGTTCATTCTAGCAATTCTCCAAGTAGAAGAAAAGAGTGGTAATAACTCTAGCACAAGGACTATGACATGCTTGGGTTGAAAGTACAGAGTCATCACCATCATATGACTGTTACACACTACCCAACTTAGAATAATGATATATGAGCACACTATTTGCAGTGATACTATACAAATCGAAAAGATGAACATGAAAGTCATTAAGAAGCAATATCTAGAAACTAGATTTCATCCACTGAGATATAACCGAAGAGAGTTTGTTTTTTGATCATGAATCAGTCTATCACTGAACTATACTCTCAGTCCTGGAGATTATTTTTAATAGCAAAAAGGTAAGAGTAAAATAAATATCCCTCTGTTTAAAAATCCAAAGGAGAATATTTTTATACTAAAACAAAACCTGTTAAAAATAAGAAACATTGATATTTTAGAGTCTATATATAATATCTGATTACTGATATTTAAAAGTTCATAAAAAGCCTAATCTGACATTAAAAATAGATATAAAATTTGTTCCATGGAGAGTCATTTTTCAATTTAAAAATACATTTGAATAATTAAAAGTCTGGTGGTGATGGCACATGCCTTTAATCTCAGCACTGGGGTGGCATACAGGCAGGTCTCTGAGTTCAAGGCTAGCCTGGTCTATTGAGCTAGTTCTATGACAGCCAGGGCTACAGAATAAGAGCCTGTCTCAAAAATTAAAAGTCAAAAGACTCTTTAAATTTTTTAATTGAATCTAATATAAACAAATGAATAATGGGAAGTTCTTCCTTCTATAAAAGCATAAGGCATTGGGTTAGAAAATTCCTATCTTATCATAGTAAATACTGATTAGACAGGAATCTCTAATGGATGCTAAAACTACTGCAAGAACATCTTCAGTCTTTTTTTTTCTTTCTTTTTTATGTTTTTATTTAAATTAGAAACATGCATGCTTCAAATGTCAATCCCAGCCCCCCCCCCCCACTTCAGTCTTTTTTTTTTGGAAACAGGGATTCTCTATGTAGCCTTGACTGTCCTGGAACTCACTATGTAGACCAGATTGGCCTCAAACTCACAAAAGATCCACTGGTATGTGCCACCATGCCTGCTCAGGCATCTTCAGTCTTTAGAGCATCTTCCCACAACTACTTATAAATTACAAAAGGATAAAACTTCAACTGTATAGTGGAAACATCCTCCAAACTCCTCTAGGTTAGCTAAGTTACCTCAGCAAACAGTGGAACAAACTACATTTATGGACCTCCTAGCCTAGTGACATTAAGGATACAATACTACCTTTGTTGTAGAATTGAAAAAACAGGCACTACTGAATTTGTAAGAAACAAATTCAAACCGAGAGTTCTATAAAGAGTCTATACAAAACTGTCCATTATACAAAACAGAGGCTAAAAAACTTCAAATGAGAAGAGAATGAGGAAGTGCAGTGACTAAATGCAAAGACATTCAAAAGGAGACTTTGAAAAGTTATTGGAAAATGACTGGGGTGGTGGTGCATGCCTTTGATCCCAGCACTCGGAAGGCAGAGGCAGGGGGATCTCTGTGAGTTCAAAGCACACCTGGTCTACAGAGCAAGTTCCAGAACAGTCAGAGCTACACAGAGAGACACTGTTTCAAAACAACAACAACAACAAAAAGTTACTGGAAGATATATTTAAAAATATGTTGTAAATTATGCATATTAGAAAATAGTACTATATCAATGTTAAGTATCTTAGATTCTCATAATTTTGCCATGGTTACCATTCTTTTAGGAGATGATACTATTATTTAGGCTAAGTCTCAACACTTAGCATCAAGATAGGTAATTGTTAGGTGCATACATTGCTCATCCGGAAGACCCAAGTTTGGTTCCCAGCACCTACTTCAGGTGATTCATGAATGCCTATAACCCCAGTTCCAGGGACCAGATGCCCTCTTCTGTCCTCCACGAACAATGCAACCATTTGTACATACCCACACATGTACACATAATTAAAAATATATGTACATAATTTTTTAAACTTTTTTTTGGTTTTTCGAGACAGGGTTTCTCTGTATTGTTTTGGAGGCTATCTTGGAACTTGCTCTGTAGACCAGGCTGGCCTCAAACTCACAGAGATTCACCTGCCTCTGCCTCCCCAGTGCTAGGATTAAAGGCATGCACCACCAATGCCTGGTAGTTTTTAAAAACTTTAAGACAGGGTCTATGTAGCCCTGGATATCCTGGAACTCACTATGTAGACCAGGCTGGCTGAGAACACACAGAGATTAGACATGTGCTGCCACACCTGGCCCTAATATATATATATATTTTTAATTCCAGATCAAATCTGCAACCTACCTTCAAATAATTCAACAATACAATGATATGTATTAAAAAATTACCGAAGCAATTTTGGCTAAGAATTAAAGAGTCTACCTGGCATGGTGGTGCATGTCATTATAACTAGCACTTGGGAGGGGGGTAGAAGAAGTAGTGGATAATGAGTTCATGGCCAGCCTCTACTACAGAGCAAGTTTGAGGACAACATAGACTACATGAGATTCTACCTTAAAACAAAACAAAAACCAGTTAAGAGCTAAATCCAAATGAAGAGAATTGTGTCCAATAAATTATTGCAACTTTTTAAATAAGGAAAAAAGAAAATAATAACTGACTACATTAACAATGTACATAAGGTTTAGGGAATCAAAGGTGCTGAATATCCCAGGATGTTCTTTAAAGCTGATTTTAGGGTCTGGGGAGATGACTTAATCGGAAAGAGCACTTGCTACATAAGCTTAATGAGCTAGGCTTAAATTGCAGCGCCCACATCAAAAGCCAGGTCTCCATGCATGTGCCTGTAACAACAGTGCTATGGGGAGCACAGGAAGGAGAAAAGCTGGCACTTGCTGCCACTGGCTTAGCTCCAGGTGTCATTAGAGACCCTGTCTCAAAGGAATGAGGAAGAGTGATAGGATAGGACACCAACATCGCCCTCTCCTTTCTGTGCACTCCTATGTACATGAGTACGCACATGCCCACACATACACATACAATTTCTTGAATTGCTTATTTAATCACCGAGTACCACCTGAATTTCTGGGGTTATGCTATATCAGAAGTAGTATGACACGGTAGGCAAAACTAAAAAGTAGTAATGATAACTATGGGCTCTGGATTGTCTGACTAGGAACTCCAGACACTTTTATGTCCTTAGACAAGTGTTCAATTCCACCAGTACACAATGGTTAATACTGCAGTGAGAATTAAAAAAATACATGTTTTAGTAGTAAACAGTAAGTATAGTGCTTCATGCATAAACTATTATTCAAATATACATTAAGATAAATTACAAAAAAATGAGTAAAAAAATAAAATAAAATAAAATATGACCTTAAAATCCTAAAAGAAAAAATGTTTTCTTGCTTTTTCCACATTAATTTGGCAAACATTTTACGTTACTTACTCATCCCCAAAGAGCTGATGGGTATATTCAGGAAAGAAAGTTCTAATGTCATTCTCAAGATCTTCAGGAAAACGAACTGTTCAAAATAAAATATATAGACATTAAAGTTGATAAACATTCCTAGTTCAAGAATTCCGCTATAGCTACAATACTACCAGTGTTTTTCTCTTAAAATGTTTCTTCTCCTTACCTGATTAAGCTAGATTCCCATGAGACTGGTGAACCCTGAAAGCTAGATACTAAAGCTTCGACATCAAATCTATTTACTCTAAAAGATACAATGCAATTAAGGCAAGTGACTTAGTTTTTACTTTTTTATATTTTATACACAATGAAAAACATAAGAGGAAAACAAACACACAAAAAAAGAATACTTTCAGATAAGAAAAACTACAGCACCTAGGAAAGGAAAACAATACTGTACAAAGCATTTTAACAAGGATAAGCGGAGTTTGATGAGGTCCCTACCATGCCATCATTAAAAAGAGAAAATGCTTTCATCAGTGTGTGGGGTGGGGTGGGGTGGTGGCGGCGAGAGGACAACTATGCATTTGGTTCTCTTCTTTACTTGACTTGTAAGAATTGAACCAGATCAGATCATCAGGCTTATCCAGCTTAGGCAATCTCCTCAGCCCCCATCATTGTTTTTTGACTGCAAGACGATATTTAATTTTTTACTGTTATTTTCCCCCTCTTAAAAATAATGCTGCTTGGGGGCTGGAGAAATGTCTCATTTAAGAACTCTTGCTGGCCTTCTAGAGAGCTTAGGTTTAGTTCCCAGCACCAAGAGAGCAGATTACAATTGTCTGTTAACTCCAGCTACAAGGGATCCAGGTACATATGTGATACATATATATATATATATATATATATATATATATATATATATATATATATACTCAGGCAAAACAATCATACAAATAAACAAAAATAAATTTTTAAAAATTAAAATGCTGCATGAGCCTAGTACCCAGTATAATCATGAGATCCTGAATATAATCCCTACACTGCAAAACAAGCAAATAATATTGAGATGACACTCATATACATCTTACTGTACTTTTATGAATATGTAAGAGGGGAAATATTTGGTAGTAGAAAAGTAAAAGCACTGATGTTTCTGTTTTCTTTCTTTTTTCCTTTCTTTTCTTTGAGTCAGGGTTTCTCTGTGTAGCCCTGGCTGTCCTAGAACTCACTCTCTACCAGGCTGATCTCAAACTCAAGAGATCTGCCTGCCTCTGCCTACAAAGTACTGGGACTAAAGGTGTGTACCACTGCCCAGCAACATCATTTCTTATAAACACTGCTTAGATGCCCTGGGGCACCAGCATGGACATTTAACTTGGATTTCCTAATATCTTGAGAATACCCTCAACTTCTATCCTAACTAATCTAAGATGGAAATGGGTATGTTTCTGTTGCTTTTATTTGTATTAGTTATAGACACTGAATTATTGGATGCTTTCCTAATACAACTCATGTTATGAAGAAAAACTTGTCAAAAGTCCTAAAGCTAGACTGATGGTATGGATCAGTGGGTAAAGGTACCTGCTGCCAACCCTGACAGCCTGAGTTCAATCCTAGGGAACCACCTGGTGGAAAGAGAAATCCAACTCCCACAAGGTGCCCTCTGACTGTCACAAGCACTATCCTACTACTTCCAAAAAGAATTCATTGAAACAAGAATGTAATTTTTTGTTGTTGTTGTTGTTTTTTCCCCAGACAGGGTTTCTGTATACTGCTTTGGAGCCTGTCCTGACACTCACTCTGTAGACCAGGCTGGCCTCCAACTCATAGATATCCGCCTGTCTCTGCCTCCCGAGTAAAGGTAAAATCTACTACTGGTTTGGCTGTTTTGCTTCTCAGGTCTTCAGCTTGAAACTTGAACCCCAATATCTGTCTCTGGGCCTTTCATTATTCCTGTTACAGCCAAAGACCTGGAATAGTAAATCTGTGCCTACTAACAGTTCAAGCCCACTCATGGACAAATCTCGCTGGCTCTCTCATACACTTGGGGGCTGGGAGCAGGCCAGGTAGAACCACAGCCCTTTCTTTTCATTGTGTCTCTGCCCTTATCTCTCATCTTGACACAGTCTGACCTAGGTGGCAGATCACACTGCATTTGACCAAACACAGGCAACCTAGCAAAACACTGGGACAAGGTAATCATGGAACTAATTCAGAGGTACCCTACCCTACTTAGGTTCTTGGCTCACTGGAGCTTTCTTTGAAGTCTGCTTGGGTGAAGGCACCAAAGACTTCCCACCAACTGGAAGAAAGTTTAGCTGCGAATTCTGAATTCTCCATTGGCCTACTACTCAATCAACCAAAAGCTGACAACCTACCACTGTCCCTTAAGCTCCTTAACCCTGGAAGACACTCCCTTACTTTCCAGGTGCATTAGGTCATTTCCAGACTTAGAGGATGCTGTGAACAACTGAGCATTGAACCCTACCTGTCTGTCCCTTGGTTCTGAGCCCACCCATGGGCTCCAAATTTTCTGTACCAAAAGAAACTCCATTGGCCTGTTTGAGGGCAAACTTAAAGGAGACCCAATTAGATTTAAAACCAAATCTGGCTTCAATATACACTGGACAAATGGCCACAGCTGACCCTAATTCAGAACTTTCAACTACCTAAAGTTATTGAGAACCAATGCCGCCCCCATAAGTCACAGTTCACTTTAATCTTTCTCAAGGCTCTGGTTTAAAATCATACCCAGAGCCAAAAAGTCTGCTGCTGTCTGTTGGGCAGCCAAACTTGCATCTTAATAAAATTCCATGGTTCTAGTGGCAAGTTCCATTCTCTGACTTGAAGACAGGCTTTATTTGTACAAGTAAGATATCACCACATGTCCCCTTTTCTTGTTTAAAATTTTAAAAAAGGTTGTAACTAATATAAGAAAGTTATATACAATAAGTATATACAATATATACAGGCAATAAGTACATCAACAATGTCTAGTCCATTAGCATTTGACAAATTCAGACAGAGAAAATACTCCTTATATATTCTTTCTTGATGAGTCCAAAGTCTTGTACCTAGTTTACAAGATGGGACAGTCCTTCAGGGTTCCTGCTTCATGGAAGAAAGTCTGCCAGACATTCTGCAGGACATAGAGAAAAATGACTGACAAACTGCCAATACAGGTGGGACAGTTTCAAATTTTCTGCTTCACTGAGAAGTCTGCCCAACACTCTAGGTCTATATGGTCAGCTAGTGGCAAATTCCATTCTCTGACCTTCAGACAGGTTCTATTTGTACAAGCAAGATGTCACAAAATTTTTTTGCCTTATGCTTTTAGCCGCATTTCAGATTGTCTGCTCCCATCTATAGACAGAAACAAACTGGCTACAGATATGTAGGATCCTGGGTTCAGCCTACAGTGATTCAATATGGATACTATCAAAAAAATGTTTCACACTGTTCTACTCTACTGAGAAAGCTGGCTTTGGAGTTGGATTTTGGCCCATCTGACCCAGACCCAAGTATGTTTGTTTAAGTTTCCTCCAAAGTCTCCGTCCTAGGTCAGGCAGGCCACCTGACTCTGTAACAGGGAGGAGAGTAGAACAGAGCAGCCCACGGACAGACACTTTGTTCCTGAGAACTAAGAAGTAAACTACTACTTATAGAGGTTACAAATAACAAGGTGTTTAACTCTCTGAGTTCTCCCCCCTCTTTTTTTGGTTTTGCTCATTAACTTTAGTGCTTTTGTTGGAACTTAAACTTTCAGTATTTTAGAATTTGTAAGTTCATTAATTTTAAAAGGATGTATAAATAATCTTAATTTGCTATAACATACCATTTATGTGACCTGGATTCAACACTTGTTTAGGAAGAATATGCCATGGCCTCACCGTGGAGTATCATGTGGCTGATGACCTAGGTTCACCTTGGAGTACCAACCAGTCACTTGTTGCCATCTTAGTATCCATATGACCCAGCCACCCGCTTTTCTAAGGTTAAAAAAAGGGCATGCCATGTGACTTCAACACCATCTTGGTTAAGGTAACCACCTAGTATAAATCAAATAAGGCAATACCCATAAAAACAAGTAGATCCACTGAACCCTCTGCTTACCACGGTATCTCCTTTTTATTAGACTAAGAAGGCAATACTAGGCTTTCAAGATGATTTGTTTTGAAGATGAGTCATATTTTTAAAATTGGCATTTAGCTGGGTGGTGGTACAGACTTTTAATCCCTCAGGAGATACTCAGGAGGCAGGTAGATCTCTGTGAGTTTGAGGCTAGCCTGGTCTACAAAGCTATACAGAAACCCTGACTCCAAAAATCAAAAAAACAAAACAACAACAACAACAAAAAACGTGGCATTTACAAAAGGGATCATGAAAATGAGGTTCCCAGTCTTTCTGTGGACTGTATTTATGATTTAAAGTTTGATACTAAATAAAGGATCTTTAAAGAATTTTTATTTTGTTTGTTTTTGGATTTTCAAAACAGACTTTTTCTGTGTTAACAGACCTAGCAGTCCTGGAACTCACTCTGTAGACCAGGTTGGTCTAGAACTCAAGAGATCCACCTGCCTCTGCCTTCTGAGTGCTGGGATTAAAGACATGTGCCACCACCAATCAATTAATTCAAGAATTTTTAAGGTTCAAACTTAATAGGAATAAAACTGAAATCCTAATGGTATGAAGTTCACCAACTTAGCTGGCAGTCGTGATACACATCTTTAATTTCAGCACTCAAGGGAGGCAGATCTCTGAGTTCAAGGCTAGCAAGGTCGACAGAATGAGTTGCAGGACTGCTAGGGATACACAGAGAAACCCTGTCTCGAGGAGGAAAAAAAAATTGAATGCTTGAGTAAAATGAGTTAAATTTACAATAAGCTGTGTTAAGTTTCGAACCCAGGACAAATGGCTGAGGTGCCTATTTAACACATCAAAGCAGACCTGACCTCCAGGTTCTCCCAGCATACCTGTTACAGGGTAGAGCTGGAATACCCTTCCCCTAGAGGCTCTTCTCTGTATAATCCAGACATTTTTGATTACCTGCCCCTTTGTACCTTTGGCCTCCTGGCTGCTACACCTGATTCTCCTCTCTCCCTTCTCTCC